ATAATAATAATTTTAATTATCATTTATTAAATTATTTTAAAGCAAGATCAAAATGATAAAATATATAAATTTTAAAAATTAAGGTTATTATTATGTCATAATACATTATCATTTCTGTTAAATCAACAATTAAAATTCGTTCAAAATAAAAAATTATATCATTAAATATGATTTTATAAAAAAATATAATAACATGACCAAAATAAAAATATAAAAATAGATAGTCTACTCTAAAAAATATTAGATACTTAGTATGTATCAGTGATTCTATAAACAATAATTATTTGATATATTTACTTAATATGTATTTTGTAGTAATGATCAATAATACTTGATAGATTCTTGAGTTTATTTGTGATATTAGCGGTAAATATATTAGATAATTATTGGATAAAATATGCAAATGGTCTTCTGACAATAGGATGTTACTTTATTAAATATCTCAATTATTAAAAGTTACAAAATAGTCTCATGACTATATAGGATGTTGCTTTATTGAGTTTATTGACTATTAAAAGTTTTCATTGTGTCATAAACTCGTCATTTTTTGTTAAAAAATTGATGATAATTGGAGCTAGACGTTAACATATTAACTGAGATATGTAGTTGTTTGAGAGTGTGAAATTAGATTATATCATATCTCAGTCAATAAATTAACGTCCAACTCAAATTGCCATAAATTTTTATCGAAAAATGATAAGTTTAGAACATATGAATTATTATGTGACTATTTTATTGATGGTCAAGTGACTCGACAAAACAATATCCTCTAGTTGATGATTATTTTATAACTTTAAATAGTTGAGGGACTCAATAAAACAACATTATGTAGTTGGAGAATCCTTTGTTAACTTTACCCATAATTATTTTATTATTTATAATAATATTAGTTTAATAACTTTTTAAGTAAATTACATTATTCCTCACTGAAATATACTCTCTCATATTTTACTCATTGTACCTTTAGTTTTTCTAATATACTCATTGAAATTTTCGAATTGTTATTGTTTTGATTTCTCTTAATTATTTTATTATTATTTTTGAATGACGTGTCATTTATTATTATTATTTAATATAAAAAATAAAAATTAAAAAATAAAAGCATAAGGTGGTCGTTTGCCACCGACGACCACCAACAACAATCATAGATAGTGACCGTTCGATCCTAGATTTCATGGGCAATTTCGTCTTGACTCCTTAAGTTTGAATTTGATGGTTATTTCATCGAAAAATGTCCTAAAACCCATTAATATTGACTGAAACGTTTCGACTTCCTCGCTTTAAGTCTCTAATTTGTAGACTTTAGAGTAAGTTTCAATAAAATGTAGGTCGAATTCGGACTCAATGTGTCAAGACGAAACGACTTATGAAATTTGGGACCAAACGACCACCATCTACGACGGTCGATGGTATCCGACGGTGACATCCAACCACATTCTTTTTTTATTTTATTTTATATTTATAATTATTTTATATTAAATAATAATAAAAATAAAAATACTATATCATACAAAAATGATAAAAAATAATTTATGTGGTCACCGGAAAAGCCATCCTAATTTTTTAAACGGTGTCGTGGAAAAATTGAGAAAGAATTAGACTGGGGAATTCTCGACAGCCCTAAGGAAAAGCCACCCTCGATGGCCGCCACACTCAAAGTCAAGTCAAAGTGCATGACCTTTTAGCTATTACCAATTGGTTCCAAGTTGAAAGCTTAAGAATATATTTGAAAAGATATACAAAAAACACCCTTGGTAATAGGTTATTAATCATTACGACCTTCTGTTTCCCCCCTTTTTTTTCAGCTTCCCACCTTTCACTGCACCTTTATTTCTTTCTCTTGGCATGTAACCCGGATTTCTAAATTCATCTAAGATATCAGCTCTGTGAATGGAACTCATCAGACGGTACATATTTTTCCACGAATGCAAAGACAATAGATGGATATAGATATGGGTATCAATATTAATCTTTACAAGAGCAACAAGAAAACAATAACTTGCTAGCACACATTTACGACATCATCAACATAACGAAACAATAGCAAGAAAATCCATAGGTGCAACAAATAGGAAATTTTGGTTTAAGACCTTACCTCTGATATCAGGTGAGGGGAAAAACATATATAATTGGCCACCATGGTCTGACCTTTCCTTGAAGAAACGCTGAAAGACGGGTTCTTATAGGAGCCTTTCTGGAGGTGCCATTCAAATTAAACTGAAGAGAAGAAGAGAAGAAGAGAAGGGAAGCATACACAAACAAATTTATTACAAATAACGTAAATTTGAGCGTTTAAGGAAAGGTCCCTACACTATCAAAATGAAAGCTTCATTTCTTGAAGGTAATTTATTTAAGGCTAAGAATGATAATAAACTAAATGGCTATCTAATAGGTTCTTCAAGTATGAAATACAATTTCGGTGCGAGTCTATCTTATGCATACCTTTTGTCCCAGCTTCATGAAATCTATTTCGACAATATTCATCCCGAATTCTACTCAATACCTTTATAAAAGCTCGGCTACATACGATCTGGTTCGAAAATGTAATGCTAATAATGAAGACAAGTCTAGTAGTCTATGCACTATATTGTTCAACAGTATAGACAAAATTTCGATGTCCCAACACATTCCACCAAATCCACTAATTCATGTGAATTATATAAACACACACAAAGATTTACTAATAAGATGTACATCCCTGCGGGTAAATGGTTTAGTTTTTTTTTCAGCTAATATCGATCATCTGAGACTAACACAGATAAATGACATGGCTGATAACTCACCGTCTTCTCTGCCAGACATCTTAGATTTAAAAGAAGCAAGTCACACCGAGACACAAAGGGTCCATGGAGCCTAGGCGCAAAGCGAAGGCCTCCTTCTTTTATGCGAGACACACTTTTGTACTAAAAAATCTTACAAGTCAATTATGGAGCATATTTTGTACTCAAAACAACACGATAATCATAGTATAGATGCTTAAGAATCAAAATATTCGATATCATTACACTAACAGTGACAAATTGATATAAGGAAAATAATGATAAAAAATCAAATTACTCCACGGAATCAAGTTACAGATGCTGAACGCATTGAGCTCAAACAATAACACAATGGAACAGAAAAGTAACCCTTTATATAAAGAGAGAAAGATTTCCTACCGTCATCAGCTTCTTTTTCGCTCTTCATGCTATTAAACATTGGACTAATTTTAATTTCCATTCACCATTGACTAACATCCGATGAATGCAGAATTCAACGACAGAGAGATCAAGTAATGAAGTGAAAATGTCTACCAGCAAACTCATAAAGTAGAGAAAGATGGAATAGCTTGTATACACAAAAAGTGGCCCGATTACATAGTTCAAACTTTGACATGCTTAATAATCCTCGAAAACGAATGCCCAACAACAATAATCAAACTGACAATTCATTAGAAAGAAGGAAAAAAAAGATAGAGCGGAGAGTTAGAAAAAATAGAAAACGGATCAAGCTTGGGTGCCAGTCAAAGCCTTCATCTGAATATGATTATTATCAGCAGCATTGAAGGCAAGGCCCATACGATCCCAGTTTTCCTCGTCCCAAAGTCTTGGCAACAAGTGCGTAAGTGACCATCACAATGATGACAACAAACATAACGTGAACAACGAACACTAGATCCAGAATCGCCACAGCCCTGAGCCGCGACTCGTCGAGCTCGCACTTGGTGGATCCCTCGACGCCACTCACAACATCAGCCTTATGACAACCTTCGGGTATAAACGCATCCACGTAGAGCGAGAGCCCGGTTTGCAAAACCCAAAGCCCCTGCAAGCAAATCGCCGCCCCCAGGCCCACCTCCGCCACAAAAAGCTTGGGTGACAAGCTAAAATCAAACTCATCAACGAAGCCAAGCAGAGACGCGGGCGGAAATGGGAATCGCATTTGGCCTGTAGATATCAGACGTCTGAACAGAAGAAGCGGATTCGGAAAACGGAGAATGGAGGAAGAAAGAGCCGACCCAAAGGCGAAGAAGAGATCAGGAGGGAAAGGAAGAACGACGTAGTCTCGGAGATCAGAAACGAAACCGAAACGAGAAGAAGAACAAAACGGCGGCGGAGTTGAGGGTAACGAAGCGGTAAACGGGGGTGCGGCCTTTGACGAGGGGGTCGGGGTCGGAGGAGGTGATGGATTGGTGGAGGAAAGCGATGAAAAGGCAGAGGATGAGGGATAGAGGGAAGGTGCTTGAGGCGGAGATTGGGGGAGAAAGGGAAAGGGTAAAAGGGCTGGCGGAGTAGCTTTGTGGGGATTTGAGGAAGTTACGGGCGGTGCAGATTAGATGGTAAAGACCAGAGAGAGAAGCGTGGAGGAGGCTAATTTTGGTATATAATTCCCGCCATTGAAGATGTAAAATCAAAGCCAAAAGAAGCTCAGTGACGATCACAGTAAGGGAGATCCAGTGGGATTTTTTTAAAATCAAGCCAAAGAAGCTCAGTGACGATCAACAGTAAGGGAGATCCAGTGGATTTTTTTCTTCTGATTTTGATTTTTTCTGGTGACAACGTTGTTTTGCTTTTGTTTGAATAAATTACATAAATGATTTTTTAACTATACAACATTATTTTATTAGGTCTCTTGATTATTAAAAATTATAAAATAATTTTTTATCTATGAGTATTGATTTGTTGAGTATCTCTAACATTAAAAGTTATAAAATGGTCATCAAATTATTTATTATGTTCTAAGCTCATCATTTTATGTATCTTAGTCATCATGTTAATATTTAAATTAAATAATTGTCAATTTATAACTGAAAAAATATGAGTTTATAACATAATAAATAATCAATTAATAATTTTATAAATTTTAATAAATAGACATCTTATAATTTGAGAGATCATTTGTGTACCTTTACCCTTCTAATTTTTGGATAAAATAACAATCGCTGGATAAAATAACAATCGCTGGATTTAAATTTGTATGAATCAATTCAAGATGAAGCCTTGAACTGAGAGGGCAAAAAAAAAAAATCTTTACGAAGCAGACAACAGTTTACAGACACGGGTAACAATCGCTGGATTTAAATTAGTCTGGTTCGGGTTTGTCCTCTGCCTGCTAGCTGTTGTTTTCACAGTAGCTGCTTTGAAAATCATTTTTACTTGAGGCCTAAAAACTGTACAGAAGGGTATGTATGCAACGCAAGGAAGATTTTCGATGATATGCTTCAAAGAGTGTATTCGTTCGTTTTATTTCTCGTATGTTGTAATCTTGGAGGTAATTTTATTTCCTCCATTTTTTAATGTTTGGAATTTTCTTTTACGACAATTAGGTTAATCCTTTGAATTGTTTTTTCTCTGCTAAAAATTGTTCCTTCTGCCTGTTTTTGGTTATATTCTACGTGACTTAGTTTTTTAAGCTTTCTTTTTTGGAAGGAATGGAGCGTGAAGACGAGATGAAATTAAAAGGAGACACAAAGGAGAAGATGTTCCAAATTTATACAGATTTTTTGACAGGGTAATCAAAACACAAAAATTTTGTTCACATTTGTTAACTTACTCCATTGCTTCTAGACATTGGTTTCGATGTGTTCATTCCTTAATTGCTTTAGGATATTGTATGTCTGCACATTAGAGAAAGGGGTTGGATTTGCAACTTTAAGATGCAACTTCATTTTCAATAGAAATCAAAGTGATGAAGCCTTTGGTTTTTACCGAATTCCGAAATTATTGTTTGGGACATTTCAGGGTGGCAAAGCTTGATGAACTGGTGGCCGTTGGAGGCAGACTACTTACCGGCTTTCAGCAAGGACTAGGTTGGCACCCTGTGAAAATCCGCATTATATTTTTTATCCATTGTAATCGATAGGATGGTTTCGTTGCTAATTTTCCTTGGTGATTGTATTTTCTCGATCATCTTTCAGAGTTTCTTCGGCGCCCTCCAATTAATGAGGTGTCCAATTTGATCGAGAACGTTCTTAAAGCCAAGGAAACAAAGAGGTTAAAGTCATACCTTGAAGCTGGTTGTATTAACAATCATGACTGTGTACATAATATGAGCAAGTGTAAGTTCTTTAATCATGACCGTGTACATAATACGAGCAAGTGCAAGTTCTTTCATTCTTCATAGATAAAGCATTATCCGGTTGATAAATGGAAACAGTGAGCACTTAGTGTTCTTCTGTTATATACTGATTTCTGCTATAATCGGGTAATCTCTTTGATTATGTAGTATGATTTGCCTTCTAAAACCCTCCTAATTCTGCTTATTTTATCTCACTTTTGTACTTGCAAACTTATGGTGTGCAGTCGAATCCTCGAATGCCACTTGAGGGATGCCACAGCTACGCTGCAAATGGCAGATCAACAGTTATCTCCTTTGTTGGATGCGGAATCTAGTGTAGGACTACATCCACATGAAAGTGATGACGAAGTAGGTGTTTACGCTTCAACTCTTTCTGTTTATTGGAAGTTGACTAACTTGCTGAATGATCCTTTTGTTTTCCCCTTTAGGATGAAATGACTTCATCTTGTCTCCGAGAACCCGAGGTGACAGATTATGCTGTCTTGATTGGATCGTATATAGTATGGTGAAGCAGGATTGTACAATGCAGGTACTGCTTGTAACTATTATCATACTTCCGATGCAGAGCGAAACCATCAATCATCGAATATGGAGTTCCGAAACAATTTCTATTTTTCTCTAGAACGGTGACAAAACACCGCCTTTCCGTTGCAGGATAAGATTGTTAAATCTCTAAATCTCAAGACAACATCCGAAGAACTAGAGAGCTATTCCCTGATGTGGACGTTGTGACCTTACATCAACGATCAAACTATGCAGCTAGCTTGGAAGCTTGTTCCTTGAGACATGTCTCTGTTTTGTAAGAACCCAAAATTTGTTTTGTTCGGAATATTCAGTTTTTGCCTTGTTCCATTTTTATACAGTTTTTGGAATGGTTGTGAACTTGAATGAAAGCACAAGGGAGGCCATTTTGCCTTGTTCCATTTTTATACAGTTTTGGAATAGTTGTGAGCTTGAATGAAAGCACAAGGGAGGCCATTTACCCCATCAAGCCAAGCCAGTGATGTCCTTATTCATGTATCGGAAATCAGGATGTTGGTTATTGACAAGATGAATATGGAACCCTACAAATGGCATAGTTTCAAATCAAAATAAAGACGAAAACATCATTGTTGAAACCTCACATTGTGTTATTTCCATTTGAACACATTATTCTCTAATTTATGCCAAAACCCAGGCTCGGGCGTGAAACAGTTCAAGTTACTCCTACATGGTTGAAATATCTAGCATGTTCGAATCGTTTTGTTGAGACTTTTCTCATAAATAATTCTAAAGGGAATTGAACGTTAAGATATCTTCTTAAATTCCACATGCAATACAACACTCGTGCATGCAAGCCCCCAGGCACTGACTCACTATTTCAAATACGCTGCAATGCTATTATTCAGTCGTCTTACAACAAGAAAAATAGGCTGTGCAGATGACAAACCAATCTCCCACGCAGCTACATCACATATTATCTAAAGAAATACAAAGTTCAGCTTTTAACAAACAACTTTCGGATTATTGGATTATATTGAAGAACAAAAAACCAAGTATTATTATGTTAAACATTGCAAAGTGAATGGTTTATTGGTGTATATAAGATAATGACTAGATTTCCCATGGCAAAATAATTTCAAATTTAAGAAACACTGCATCTAGAAAAAAAAGTGCAATTTCTTTGAAAGTTTGAATAATTTATGTATTATTACACGAGAAATACTTGCACTAACAAGTTTGCACTTTGCATTCAGAATCACAAGGCATCGAAGCCTATATTCAGCATGGAAAAAAGCAAACAAAGAAAAGGTTCTTAAACAGGATCGAAAACAAACAAACAAAGAAACAGTCCAAAATCATCTTGTCCATAACCTGAACCAGTTTTATGATCGCGGTTTCTTGGTTCATGAAATGTCTTATACGAACCAGGCAAAAAGCCATTATTCATCATCATCTGCAGTAGAAAGAGAAAGGAACGGAATTTTATGTCAAACCAGTGGTATAAAAACAGATAAGATTCACAACTTTAATCTTAAGCTTGATGAAGAGCAAGGTTTTAACTGTTAATACTATGGCTTATCAGCTAACATAAAATACTAAGGAAATAAATATATCCGAATCCAACTCAGTATTTGCAAAAGAGGGTAAGTTTGGGTTGGGATAAAGTAACAATTTTTGACAACTCCTTCATTTATGAGTTTATAGAACAAGTATAAAACTGAAACAATATCGAGAAAAAAAAGAGAGAGACTACAACATTGCAAGCAAAAACAAAACTGCATGAATTGGAGCATTCTGAAATAAGAAGACTAATAGTATAAATCAAAGACAACTTAAAAACTTTATAGTGGGCAAACTAATAAAATTTTAGGGGGGCAAAAACATATTATCAATACAAAATAAAAAGAAAAAATCTAAATTATATAAGAATTTGAATTTTTCAAGGGCAACCGCCTCGGTCCATCCCTGATATAAATGGATGCTAATAAAATTGATTGCAGATGAAACTAGTAGTTCTGATTTCAGGTAAATTGATAAAATTTATGGGTTAGATTTAGGAAATAGGATCACTGACCAAAATAGCGGCGCTCGTTGGCTGCCTTGGCTTTTTCAAGCATTTGGTCAAGGTCCCGTTGGAGCTGAGCGTCCCAACTCACTAGCTGGTTAACGAACACTGCTCCCAGGCCCATCCCCAACAGGTGCTCCCACGGATCTGCATTTCGGGTTTTCCAATTTCGAATTCAAATTTATATAGTCTAGGGTTCGAAATTAGGAACGAGATCGACTGCATAAATAAATTGAAAAAAAAGGAAAGAAGGAAATGAATCGCACGTCGCATGTAAGGGAGCTTGCGGAGAGCGTTGGAGTACATTTGGGTGCCGAGTCCCAGCAGTACTCCGATCACCGTCGCGCTCACTGCCATCTCTTCCTCTTCTTCTCCTTTGGGCTTTACCTTCGCGTGCGTCTTCCTTTTCTCGAATTGGTGATTGCCAAATCTTTCCTTTGGTTATGTTTACCTCAAAACACTACATTAATAGTAGAGACATAATAGGATAAACTACAGAAATGATCACTTTTATTTCATAAGTGTTCACTTCTTATCATCGAATATAATAAAATAGTATTTTAATCACTTACATTTAGGGATGGGCATGAGTCAGGTTTTTGATCCACCGACTCGACCCGAGATCAAAAAATCCTCCACCCAAGACCCGACCTAATAAAAACAAGATTTCACCCGATCCGATATATAACTTAAAAACACGACTGACCATACCCGAAATAATAATAAAAATATTATTTTTATTAAATAAAAACAGTGACTTAATTGAAAAAAATAATATATAGAGGGGTATTATTATAATTATTCATAAATATATAAGATAAAATTATAAAAAAAATCAGGTCGGGTCGGATATTTTTCACCGTAAACCCGAACCTGACCCGAACACGATTTTTTAAAATAACCCGACCTGATCGGGTCGGAATCCGTCGGGTTCGGATCTCATTCCCATCCCTACTTACATGATCATTTTATAAGATGTTAAATATCTTTAATTTGATGATGTGACACGTTAGTAAAAAATAATTTGTAATTTAACTTTTAAAATTTAAATTAGAAAACGCTAATTAAATATTAGAAGATTAAAAATTATATTTGAACAAATATTATATTATATTTACGCCAGTTTAATAAAAAAGTATATATTATTAAAAAAACTTAACATCGTATCTCATTAAATAACTGATAATTAATATCTCTATTCTAAATAATATATATACATTCCTTTTTAAAATTAAAGGAAAAAGTTATGAAAGTCTATTTATATCAATACAATTGTTCAAATAGATATTTATTTTCATATCAATAGAACCGTAAAGAGTCGAAAGTTTTCGTATGAAAGGTTTGGATAAATTACGTGTTTAGTACCTAAATTATTAATTTTAATTTGTTTGAATACTTAAACTTTCAATTTCAAAAATCATACATAAAATTCAATTTTTGTTTCATTTTAATACCCGTCATTAAAAACTTTAGTTTTTGTTCCATTTTAGTACATCAATTTGTTTGAATACTTAAACTTTCAATTTCAAAAATCATACATAAAGTTCAATTTTTGTTTCATTTTAATACCCGTCATTAAAAACTTTAGTTTTTGTTCCATTTTAGTACATCCGTTCAACATTTAACGTTAAACTTTGAAAAGATTGAAAGTTAGGTACTAAAATAGACCAAAACCGATAATTTAGATACTAAACGCATTAAATTTTTAACGGTGGAATACTAAAATGAAATGAAAACTAAACGTTAGACATTGTTTTGAAAAAGATTGAAGTTTAGGTACTAAAGTGGATCAAAACTGTTAGTTTAGGTACAAATGCGTAGTTTACTTTCTTTTAAAAAAATATTTTTATTAAATCAATTATTCAACTGAAAATTAATATCTAATTGACTCCTACTGCCGGTCCAATTCTCATAACAAAATCAAATTCAATTGCCATAAATATTGTAAGTGCCCAAATGGGGCAAATACACAACACACAACATTCGCCAGGTATTCACACTAACAGGAAGTATATAAATAAAGAAAAACACATGTACACGCCCTCATATAAAATATATACCACTCCCTGCAGTAATTTTATACAACCGCTTGGACACTAAATGATAAGAATAACGAGAAGGATTACCAGCACCAACACTAGAATTCCCAGCACCCACCAGCACTGCCAACAAAAAGAAAAGAAATAATGATATATCAACATGAAAATACATATCAAAGTTAGGGAAATATGAGGGATAATGGTTCATCAGACCACATTACTCTTGTAATTATTTCAAACAGATTAAAAATATGCTGTCACCACCGAACCCGAACTGCGTTGTGCAGACACTGTGAGCATAATCCGGTATTGTCGACGATACCGGATTGTGCTGACGGGGTGATAGGTCATGACTCATGACACCTGCATCCTTCTCAGAAGGCTTCATCTAGAGAGAACTAAGGAGCATATCATTCCTATTCCTTGTGCATGGGCTAAAGCTAATGGTTTTAAAAATGTACATTGCGTACCAGGCCAGGGCACTGCAGTGCTGGGGCTAAAGCTATGAGTTAATCTGTTATTGCGGTTAAAAACAGCAAGTTTATGAACTTGCCAGCACTATCTCAATAACCAGACTCTTTACATCGAACAATTTCAACTCTTCAACAAAAACAATTCATTGTTTATTCAAGTTCTTTTTTTATTTGCAAATTCATTCTCTATCATCAAGCAAGCATACGGTGAACCGATCCGAAAGTTGAAACAATCTTCGCACATTTGCATTTCCTCAGCAAAATTTCAACTACAAATATCATGCATGTCATGTCAAATAAAATTCTTGAAATCAACAGTTTACAGCATACCCATGAGGTTCGAGATTTCACACTTTTGGAACCCTTGGCTAGTTGAACTCTACCCTGGGTTGTTGAAGAGGAGGAAGCGTCAATGTTTGATGAAATGTCATCTGTTTATGATGGAACAAACCACAGATAAACGTAAGCAGGTAGCAATGTTTTAGCATGCAAACCAAGATATTAACCCTTAAATCGTACATAATGGCAATTCTATTGTACTCTCCTTTTCGGCATAGTCAAATTTCTCCGAGTTTTTCACGTAAATATGTGTGTTCATATTTTCGTTTCTTTTAACTTCGCGGTTGTTTCTATTACCATTACCGAATCTAGTATTACAATATGCATGCATGAATGATGTATGTATCTCAAGGGGTATTTGGCATCTTACCAATTACAACACCCTGGTCGTGGACAAGAACGGCAAGGTCCTTAAATATATCATTTACCTGTCCTATTTGCTCCTCTATTTCTCTGATTCCCTGTTCTCTTTCATCAATCATAGCTTCGTTGAACCCGATTTCATTATCCAGCAGAAGCACCTCTTGTCTGCACATTTTCTTAGATGAATATGGATCACAAAGAAAAGGCTCTTGCAACCAATTGCAATAACATAACGACGGAAAATTTGTATGAAATGTCTTTGACCAAGGCATGTTCATAGGAGTAAAAAAATGTTCAAGATCAATGGACTACCAAGGAAAGCGACATCAGAATTCATAGCTAATGTTTATATCAAGAGCATTCATTTCAACGATGCTTGTCATCATCGTTGACTGGCAAGGTACCGTGACTTCATTGGATTACATCATGCTGGTGTAGGCGCCCTCGTATCCTAAAGAGAACAATATCGATATTGTGCTCACGACACCAGCACAACACGGCATGGGAAAAATAGAGTATATTGCTGATCGGCCGGTCGTTAAAGGAGTGACAAGCGATGAAAACGGATAAGTGAAAGGAGTTGGGGGAGAAAGGAAAGGATGAACTGAACTCTCACCTTCTCTGTTCCATAAGAAAAGGTTGTGTTGTTGCTCTTGAGAATCATTGAGCCCAGAGCTGCTGCATACAAAGCATCCAATCAATATAAGGCCTCAAATAATAACAATAAATGATGCAAAACGTAAAAGACTGATACGTAGGAGGCAAGGAAGGTGGAGGAGCGGCAGGAGAGTAAGTAGACTCGCGTTCAGAAGCCAGCTGTTGAACTTTCTGGAACTCTTGTAGCGTGTTCTGAAAATCTCTGGCCAGCTTTGCATCTTCTACCTTCTTACTTGGCTGGAACTCAGAATTCGAAATTGAATTGAACATAGGATACTCAAAAGAAAGAAAGAACAAAATTAGAGATGAAGGAAAGATACATTGACAGTAGGGTCATGATCGGATTCAGTCAAGTTCTTGAGCTTAGCGGAAGTTTCCTTCACTAGTTGAAGAATCCTTTGCCTTGTGTTGTGCCTGTTGATAAAAATTTTGCAGCTTCGTGAGAAGAAAAAGGAACAAGAAGGATATGCATCTTTCATGTATTAATTCCAAGACATAAAAAAAAGAGTACAGTTTAAGGCGGTGATCGGGAGTGTCCTTGGCGGTGCCGATGGCATCCACGAGGCGACGGAAAGCGGCGACGGCAGTGTTGATCTGGAAGATCCCGGCCGCCACAGCTTGTGAGGGGCTCTTGGACGCCGATGAGGAGCGAACACCACCAGTTGGAACGTCTTGAAAACTCATTTTCGGATTTCCTTTGAGGTTTCCGCTTCCAATTGCCAAAAAATGGGGGAAAGCACTGTTTGGCTAATTAATAAACCCTACAAAGAGAGAATTGATACAGCTTCATAAACGCTGATCTCAGAAGATAGGTGGCAGGCTAAAGGCAAAGCCTTTCCAGTTGTACTGTGATTAGTTATCAGTTCAGCTCATCTTCAATCACAGTGGCACCAATCGCCGACCAGTCAACGTGTATGGGATATTTCCTCCCATTGAATTCTGGGTTTAAAACAGAATAAACTAGAAAATATAAAACTCACCAATCAAAATCGATCACTTGGCTGCTGTTGCTTTTCATGTTGAGTTAAATACTGGGCCAAGTGGCATATGATCTGACACCTGTTCTTCCCAGGATAAGGCCAAGTCACATTCTAATCTTGTTAATCTGGATCGATTTGTTATGACATAATTTTGGTGGATAAGTATTTTAAAAAAGATCTTCTACATACGTAAAATCTCGGAGCCGAAACATTGTTTAAACAATATAATTGTTTATCATTTGAACTAATCTTTGATGATATTAAATGATTTAATTGCGTCAAAAGTCCCCAAGTTATGATATTTATTTTAAATTGATCTCTAAATTTGAATATTCTAATTATATACTCAAATTATGTTCCATTTTAAATTAATTCATAAACTTTTAATATTTTAATTTCATCCTCAAACTATAAAATTTGTTCTACATTAATCATCAAATATTTATATATTTCAATTTCACCAGTGACGAATCCAAAATTTTAAAATAGAGTTTCAAAATAAATATTATAATATTAACTACGAAAAGGTTACATAATCCAAAATAATAATCAATTCAAAAAGCACAAAATAAATACTAATACTAAAAAAATTATAATTGTTTTAGACGACTTTTCATTCCTTAAAATCGTTTCATGATTTCTTCATCATCAATTTGAAAAAAAAACAACTTTCTACAAAAGTGATCAAACAATCATTTAAAAATTAGTCACTGATACTATTTCACAACCTATTTCATTTTAGAAAATCTATTTCCACACTTATGGTTACTACCGGGAGAATCAACATTAATTTTATGAGCAAATAGACTTGTCGGTACACTTGATGTTTCTTTGTCTCGATTAGCATCATAGAAAGTTCACCCATATCCTTCCATACCCAAAATCTATCGTCCCTCCGCATATCAACAATATAATTACCTAGTTGATCATTAATGTCTAGTCTACCAACACTTATATATTCACCGGGATACAATTCATCAAGTCTTAACTATTTTTGTTTGTCAAAGGAAGAAAACTTATCGTGGACTCAAAGAAACCATATAAGTCAATAACTTATACTAACCTCATCAAATATGTTGTTTAACTCTTTAAGTTGAAGATCAATAACTCTCGAGAATACTTCAGTTCAAAAATGATGAATCCTGGTAGTATCCATACGACAATGTTTCTTTCTTGTTACAAAATGAAGTGACTGTAACAAAAAAGACTTGGTTGTTTTCTCTCATAATTTACAATCTTTCTTTAGTTAAAGTGACAAGAGACATAACATTGACAATATCTTAATCTTTCCTCTGTAAAGTTTTATTTAATTCATTCATAATCCAAAATATTCTCTTCATCAAGTGAATCATGAAAAAAAATTAAATGATTCTATTACAAAACTCACATTATCAACTTTTCTAGCATCATCACCATTTTGAGCATCATTACCACTCAAATCAAGCACTTAAAGTATTGCAGAATACAAATCAATCACATTCAAAATCAACTTATAATCAGATTCCCCACGTGTATTAGCTTGTTTTCCAACCATTAATCTTATCATGCATGTTTTCCTTCAAATAACCAAAGGTAGTTGTCTTATTCTTCCCAATGTGGAGAGGCATGCCGAGGTAGTGTCCAATGTCATCCACTTTACCAATACTCAAAAAAAAAAAATTGTTGGCGTCGAAAAAGGATGGTGCTAGGGCTAAAATAGAGAACCGGTTTGTCAAGGTTCTCTTTTTGACCAGAAGAATCCTCATAAATACACAAGGCCTCTTTGCAAGAAGTAGATGAGTCACCTTAGGCTCATTCCGACTAGCACTAATACCCCTTATCTTGTTCTGATTCTATAAATTGTGTAACAAAGCAGACAAACCTTGAGAAAGAGGATCACTTTGTCTCGGTCCTCTGCTAGGTTTGAACTCATGATTCAAACTACCACTCACACGGATCGAAAAAGTAACTAATTCCGCACATCTCATGATAGTGCCAATCCAGTCAGAACAGAAACATAACCGCAACATTACCTGTCGTAGAAGAAACCACTCCACTCTATCATACGCCTTTTCCATGTCCAACTTAAGCGCAACCCCTTTGTTCGGACAATTCTTGGATGAATTCAGATAATGAAGAAGCTCATGGGCCACTAATATATTATCAGATATTTGTCTACCTGGAAGAAAAACAACCTGGTTCTCAACCAACACCATTGAAACAATCTTATAGACCACGTTACACAAACTAATAGGTCGCAGCTGCCTCATCTGTTGAGGGTCAGCCACCTTAGGGACGAGAACAATCACGGTCTTGTTCGCCAACTCTATATCCAATTCACCTCTCAATAATTGCAAACAGAGTCGCACCACATCATTACCAACAAGGTCCCAATGCAGTCAATAGAAGTTGGCAGGTAGAACATCAATACCTAGTGCTTTCCTAGGATTGATATCACTGAGTGCTGCAATAATCTCATCAGAAGTAAATTCCGAACATAATGCATGATTCATATCAGGAGTGATAACAAGTACAATAGCCTCCCCAAATACTTGTATTTTACCGATGGTGCTCAAAGAAGAAGTAGACCACACACTATTCACTTTAGCCATACATGCAGCCTCCTTGCCCAGTAATTCTCATACCGAAAATAATCATATCGAGAGGAAGCATTACGGTCCATTGTTCCATTAGTTTCCATCATCAGATAACAATGGTCCGAATCAAAAAGAACGAAACCAACCTTGATTAGCAACAAATCAGTCTATACGTTCTCGAATAGCATGATCCTAATTCCCCCCATAATGCCACGTAAACCAGCCTCTAGCAGGTTTCCAATCATATAGACCATTGCACTCAAGCACTTCTCTAAATTCTTGCATTTGAACTCTCGCCTTCCTCTTACCCCCTTGTTTTTCCGAATCACTTAAAACAACGTTGAAATCTCCTCCCGCCAATCAAGGGAGTGAGGAGGCAGCACTCAAAGAAGATAAAGTATTCCAAACCACATGTTTTAAATTAGTACGATAACTAGCATAAAGACCAGTGAAATGGAAACACTCATCACCCAACACAAGTATTGCTTTTGTCTACCATAAAACAATTATCCATATTTACTTTTAATGTAACTATTCTTGTCCCATTTTATTTTAGTTTCACTTAGGAAAACAATATTAGTACCCTTCGACCGATAAAATGATTCATAGAACGAACAGTCGCAGCGTTGTTCAATCCACGACATTATTTTGTGCAAGCTTCGTCCTCTTAGACGGTATAGGATTAGTGACCTGATACTTTCCCTGAAGAGCACGTTTAGATATACGGCTAGCCACCATGATCTATCCTTTTCCAGAACCTTTAGAGGACCCAGAATTTGAATTCGACACAGCATTATCATCCAACACAACCATTTTATCAGAATCATTAACCCCAAAGGAGTTTCAGCAACCACATAGGTACCAATATTGTTTACAAACTTCCCAGAATCATCAGAAGATAAAGGATTATTTAAATCATTATCCTTACGAATCATATCACCATCAATAGGAACATCCTCCATTCCAGCAGCAATACCCTTCGAAGCATCAATAGTCAGTACCTGCTTACCACGATCAAGACCCACATTTGGAGTAGAGTGACAAACAGGAACTGGTACAACCTTCGAGTCATCCACATACTCCACATCTCCTTTGACCCTACCACCACCAACCGGTTTTTGAATAGGCACTCTAAGCCATTCATCAAATTGTAACTTGGTGGAAGACCCCACCTTAATAGTTCGGCAAGAGAGTGTCTGATGACCCGACAACCCACAGGCAAAACAAAACATAGGAAGCCTTTCGTAACGTACTGGACACATCCTTGGTTTGGAGCTACTAGGAACTCCAAGTACAATAAAACGTCGCAATGGTTTCATGGAATCCAAACGAATCCGAAAGCGGAGAGAATCACCCATATTACCATCCAATATTCGTGTATCCACTGCTAATACCTTCCCCATGCTTTGACCAATAGACAAAGCCATAGCTTTGGTCATAAGTCCCAAAGAAACTTTATACAATCTTACCCAGATGTCTAATTGTGAGAAATCATAAATAAAGTGACTTAGAAACGTATAAAGAATTATATAAATTAATTGAGAGAAAAACATAAAAATTAAAATACCTTTTAATCTCATTCTAAATAATGTAAATATCTATTGTAATCACGTTAAATATGACAATTTATTTAATAATTTACGTAGTATGTTAATCTTTTATGCAACTATGGTTACTATTTTATATTTTAAATTTTAAATTTTAAATTTTAAGATACCCTGACAATTAATGTTACGATTCAATGAATGAATATTCGAATAATTAACCGATTACAATGTGCCGTAATGTTTCATTATAGCTCAACATATAGCCATATAGATTCTTCTCCGGTGACTGGTTAACTAACGGACTACACATAATATATCATTCCGACTTCAATGAGATTGATGTGAGGAATGTTCAGTTCTACCGCAGGCCCCCTGCAGTTCGTCCGGAGAAACGCATATGCGACATCGATCGCGAACTTTTTTAAAACTGGTGAACTTCGCCTGGCCTTTACACATGAATGTCCCATTATATATGCAAACCCTGCTTCCTGTGCCTCGATCAAGTCCATTAGCTCTTCTCGGACATCAGGGTCCATTTCCAGCTTTGCCGGTACTTGAAATCTCATTTGTCGCCGCCTAAACAGCAGGTTCTCTTCATTGTACACGGACTGCAAGCTCGGTAGGATTGAGGATTGGCTGCTTTGGATGGTGTTACAATCACTGATATCGTCTTCCTCGGTGACGATTATACTCGAGCCTGATCGGATGCTGGTGGAACTCGTGACAACCATCCTCCCATCATTGTAGTGCGGGTCTTCGGCTTCCACCTTGATGAACTCTGCTATTCTTTGTATGAGCTGGTTCTCGAAATCACCGCTGTCTCGCTGGACATCTTTGTACCCGTACCTCAGGATACACCGATACATTCGATATGGCCTCGGGCAAACCCGGCCGATGATGAAGCGTTCGTGTGATGGTACGAATGGGACCGGAACTGATTTGATACAAACAAAGACCAACACCTTATGGAACGCAGGCAGGTTCGTGACAAAGTGGGAGAAGATTGCAGGGACTCCTGTTACCAATTCGGAGTATATTAGGCCTACACCGGGCACACGGGCAATGCCGAGGCTAGGACCTAAGCCGAGCAACCATTTCAACGATACTTTGTTGTGCATGTCGAAGTCATACTTCTTGCCCGTCCCGTAATGCCAAATGTACATGACCATCATGAAGATGAACGACAGCACCAGGGGCACCCATCCTCCTTGTTGCACTTTCATCAGCGCAGCCGACAAGTAGACCCCTTCGATAAACCCGAAGAACAGAAAGAACATTCCAGCAAGCCAAATGCTTTTATGCCAAACAAAGGCTATCACAAGCGACATCAGAAATGTCGTGATTAACATCAACATAACGTTTGTGAGTCCTGAAAAGCGAAACCAAGCATAATCACCAAAGACAGAGGCAGGACAGTTGATGCAACGTAGTAAGGGACCATCATCACCAAGGAAGCGTTTATGAGAGAATGAATTACCATAAGCATTTCCAATTGAAGTTGTATCGTGAAATCCAGTAGTGATAGAAAGAGCAAGGAACAAGAGTATCCAGTTGATTTCCGGGATGTAGATCTGGCCATATATGTGCTTCGAGGTGTGAACGATTTTGACTCGAGGAAAGCAGCCGAGGGCATGGCATTGTTTAATTATAGAGAAAGTGGCAGTTATGATAGACTGGCTTCCAACAACAGCTGCAAGGGAGGAAACTACATAGATAGGCCAATAAACGCGTCCTGCAATGGTAAAACTAAAGATTTACATAAGCCTAAATGTTGTAACAATGTTTAGAAGCTATAGAGTTGATCTCAGATTGCACTAACTTGGAACAGAATCGAAAAAACTGTTGGGAATCGCATCGAGGTTTCTCGACAAGAACGCAGCCTGACCCATGTATTGTACAACCAAAGAAGGGTATATTGCAAATACAAATGCAAGCTGCACAAACCAGTAATCTTATCAGTTCCTATACATCGTTCAAAACACAAGTTCATAGGGTCAAGAATGAAATACACACACACTCACCCTTATTGATGTGGCAGTGAAATGACCAAGGTCTGCATACATATATTCGGTACCTGGTGAGACCGAAAATGTACACATGATTGATACATCGAAATCAGCAAGCATTATTATTGAAAAGGCGATTGAAATGAAAGTCATGCAGTATACAGAATCGATATCGATATCCAACCTACCGGTTACCGATAGAAGGATCCCTCCAAGAGAAATCCAGCCATCTTTACCAGTCTCTTTAAAGAACTTGATGATATAAAACGGAGAAATTGCTTTAAGAATATGTGGATTCCAATGTATTATGTTGTACAATCCAACACAAAAGATTGATGTCAGCCACAATAGTACAATCGGGGCAAACATAAATGATACCCTGTGCGTGCCAATATGCTGCAGAGCGAATAGGCTCACCAATATGACACAATCAATCAAGAGGAGTACTCCTAGGTTCAAAATAAAGCAAAAACTATTAAGTCCTGCAGAAACCAGAAAATGAAGATAAAATCGAACACAAAATTAGAGAGACAAATTACCTTTAGATAGTTTCTGTCCGAAATTTAGTAGGCCCGGCATCGATGATAGAACTACAAAGGTAAAAATATTTAACCCCCTAACCATAGCAACAAAAGCCAGATGGGCGATTTGACTGATATGATGAACTATACATTCTTAACATCTACCTGATATTGCTACAGTGAGCACACCATCACCAATGACCATAGAAGCACCAAAGAGTACCACGATAAGAAGTCCCGTCCTCGCCGTTTTACTCTTCTCTAAAAACCGCTTTAAGAAGGATGCATTCGACTGTGCCGGGGGGCCGTATTTATAGGCCGAGATCTCTTCATCGGCTGCATGTTGATTGGGGAGCACGCTAAACTTTGCGTGCCTACAAAGCAGAGAGTAAAGAGCAAAAGTGCCACCTGACAAGAACTCGTTTCTATCAGCTTGCAAATGGTTAGCCAAAGGGGTGTACGTCCACATTATGAAATTTCATTGATTCACCTCACCTTCACCATTATCATTAACAGACAGCAAGATGAACACATATTTACAAAGGGGTATCAATGTAAGGGTCCAAAAAATCAAGGATAATGCTCCAAGTATAGCGTCTTCGTTCTGATGATTCTGCAACTTCCCAATGAAAGTGCTCGAGTACACATAAAGAGGTGATGTGCTAAGGTCTCCATACACCACCCCCAAGCTCTGGTATGCTAATATTAGGTTTCTGGAGAGATTGGCCCACGAAAGCTGCAAAACTGACAGTGTCAAGCAAGTATACTAATACAATGGTTAATGCCAAAACATCTAGAAAACTCGAGCACGGTCGATACAGAAAATATTAAACAACTACGTTTATAACAAGCATTTGTGCATAATACAACTACATTAATAATGTACTGTCTATAAACATAATTAATAGTAAAATGATGGCATGACTTGGAATCTTGTAAGTTGTAACTTTTTCTACTGAAGTGTAAGTTGCGGAATGACTTCTAGTAAGTTATTTGCCCCTTCAGATCATCTCTCAGATTATGATGTGCATTTAATGCAAAAAAACAAAAATTAGTGAGTTATAAAATGTATAAAAGACTTTGATCGATTGATTGTTGATCAAAATCTAAGTTCGCTGAATTAAAGAACGGATTAAAATAAAGAAGGAATCAATTCCTTTACAGTTGAATTAGTAGGAGAGAGCTAGAATGAAAAATCATATTCTAGAGTTTAAGAAACAGAAGCAGATTACGAAATTGAAAAATATAATAAAATCAGATCAAACAAAAGCAATCAAAGTTAAATAAAATCTAACCGGAAAAAGATGTTTTGGAGGTGTCGAGCAGTCGGAATCTGGATCCATCGGAAAGCGGGCTCAGAGTTCGAAGAGATTGGATTCTACAAATCGTCGTTTTTCATATTCTTTCCCTATTTGATTTGATTTGTTTGTTTTGTTTGTGTATTTAGAAGAATTCAAAAAGCAGTTATTATAGTGGGAATGAAATGGATTGATTCCAACACAAACACTCGAGAATTTTGGTTTATTAATTTTCTTTTTCCGAAGCTTGATCTGATTTAACCTATAATCCTGTTTATTGAACAACAAAATGAAACAAAAAATAAACCGACTTAAGTAGTACTGAAGATGCTGAAGAGAGTTTCAACTTTCAAAACCTTCGATTCCTGTTATTGTTTCAGCGCTTTCCCAGTCTCCTTCCCCAACGGCAACGGGCCGATGAATTTGGAATACTACTTTGAATAACAAAATCAATAATACTAATAACGATATATAACACTTTATTTTATAATGATTATTTATTGTAGATTTATGGTTGAACACTTGAACTCCACACCTTTAACTATCATTCATGTTGTCTTGTCATACAAAAGCTGACGGCAGTAGTCATAGTTATAACGAAATAAAATTTTAGTGAATATATTACAAATTTTAAAAGTGACCAAAACACAAGCACTTAAAAAGTTCAGGAACCATTTATGTATTTTACCCTTCTTCATATCATGACATGAACCAATCGCAGGATGAGGATAATGTACTTAACCCTTTTCTTAAAACAAAAGGAGCCTTTATTATTCCTTTTAAGGGGAAAAATCAATAAATTAACTCTGTACAAAAGTAATATTTATCTAAAGGAAAAATGGTAACAAAAATTTACAGGGAATGTACAACACAATCTGGTACAAGCAGATGAGAAATTAATCGTCTGGGCGTTGGATCTCACCCATCAATATGCGGTTGCTTGTAACCTTGAAACCGAGCAAGGCCGGATCGATCTGTTTTCCCTTCTTCCCTTTTTTCTTGCTAGATCGGGGAACTTGCGGGCCAGGCGCATCAGATGATGGCTCAAAAGCAGAGCCGTACACTGCTGCTTCGGTTCCGTGAAGATGAGCCGGCTTCTTGAGAACATCTATGAATGATGATGCCTCAGACACTGCAGCATCATTGGAGGATGAGGTCCTTCTCATACCTGCATCTTTGCCCGATGCCTGAGTTTTTGTGCTCCTCTTGGCACCTGCATACATCAACATGCTTTCCTGACTTCCTTCTGCACATATCGAATGAACACATGATTTTGTAATCAATATATATACAAGGACGAACATATATTTATTTTATGATTCTTCTTTTTTATAAATAATCTAAAAGATATCCTACCAGAAGTTGCAAGGCTTTTCTGCTTCATAAGCACTGTGTTTTGTTCGGAGAAAATGTTCTGGGATGATGAAACCTGTGAAGCTTTTTCACTAAAAGAACCATTCCGGACATGGGTTCGATCTTGTAGATCACCATAATTCAGAGATGCCTCTACTTGTTCCAAGTCCTCAGACCCCGACACAGAACCGCTCATAGAAATCATGCCTTTCAATCCACTTCTCTTCTCCTTACCCTCCAATTCAACTAATTCTTTGTTCACAGTGGATTTTGTGATCAGCTTAGCACCTGCATAACTACTAGAAAAGGGATCCCCGGAGTCCAACATAAACGACTGTTCTTCTGCAAATGAGACAGAATTTTGAGGGCCTTCTGAAAATGAACCATTCACATGAACTTCCTGATCTTTGAAATGATTAAAAGGTAGATTCGAAGACGACGTAGAATATTGATAATCTACTTCTGGTGACTGTTCAGATTGAATACCAAGTTTTTGGTGAAGAAGGTCCATTAAAGCTTTCTTGTTTTCATGAATCCCTCCTGCTGGTGTCCAAGTGTTTGAATCAACTTCAGAATCCCTTCTTTGCAGATCTGCTTCAAGACTTAATTGTTGCATTTGTTTTTCCGCCCAACTATTTTCTAGCTGCCCATTTTGCCAAAACTGGTAGCTCTCTGCTAAATCTGGATGAGAAGTGAACACGTCACCAGAAACTTGCCGGTCAAGAGAGTGATTACCAGAAGAAAATGGACCTAGTTGGTTGTTTGAGTGCATATAGAGATGCTCAGATAGATCTAGAGAATTTACATTGTCTACTTTCATCCCAGGAGCAGGTGCAGAAAGAGTCGACCTGGCAAACACTGTAGCACTAGGGTCCAAAGCCCCTTGCTGCTGTTGGTCCTGCAAAGCAGGATTCATTTTAAGATTGCTGAACTGCTCTTCAGAAGATGAAAACCACTTTTGGTGAGGATCTGAACCATTCAGCCCCGCTGCTTGAGCCTGGGGATGAATGCTAGGATTCCTGACAAACTGACCAACTTCATCTACAGACCAAGAACCAGCATGTTGTCTCTCTCTCTCCATACTTAATTGTTGGTTCAGCGCCCTAGATAATTGCTCAGCTTGAAACTGATCATGTTGAAGACGAAGCTGATGCTCTGAAGGAAGCACATTGCCATACTTCGCTTGTAACATGAAATCCAAAATATCAGCCTGCTGCCCTTGGATTGCACTATGGTTTATCTTTGCTTGGATAATCTGCTCCAGTGATGGATCCAAGTGCCTTGAAGCATGAGAATTCTGCTGTAATTCACTCAGAAGATGCCTTTTTAACTGAACCTGATCAAGCAGGTTGTCTCTAGCAACATCAAATATGTGCTGGCCATAAACAGGATCAGAAACCTGATGCTGCAGCAATTGATCAAGTAGCAACTCCCGAGCTTGAGATGGCTGCTGATGTAGATGTTGCTGTTGAAATTGCTGCAACAAATGAATTTGATGGTTATGAATCTGCTGCTCCCGCATACGTTCCAGCTGCTGCTGCTCCCGCATACGTTCCAGCTGCTGCTGTTCCCACATACGTTCCCGCTGTTCCAGCTGCTGCTGCTGCCGCCGCTGAAGTTCCAACTGCAGCTGCTGTTGCTCAAGTTCCAACTGCCGATGCTGTTGCTCAAGTTCCAATTGCCGATGCTGTTCAAATTGAAGTTCCAAAAGATGTTCCATATCCGGAGCTGAAAGATGGATTGACTGCTGATGATTGAGATTCTTGCTTTGCAAACTATGAATTTGCTCAACACCAAATCCAGTTGATAGTGATTCACTGGGTAACTTTTGTGACATTAAGTGTTGTACCAGGTCCAACCCATTGCGTCCTTGTTCCCTGTGAGATAAGGGGCTGCCTAGATGAATGTTAGGATTAAACACAGAATTTCTTCTGTAATCATCAGACCGAGCATCTGGAAGTAACTCGTCACCACAATGAGAAGGCACATTGGATTTTGAAAATTCATTTGAAATAGGCAGATGGCTTGCAGGATTGCTGCTAAAAGGATCTTGAATTTCACCATAAACTTTAAAAGGCTCGGCACCAGCACTTCCAGGCCTTCCGGGAAAAAGAATTTCTGCATCACACAAGAGAAAAGCAGGAATCATTATCAAACACAACAACAAAATCAACAATAGGTCCAACCCATTAAACTTACCATTTGCACGAGCAGCAGCAAATTTATGGAGCTTTTGATCTTCAGAAAACTGATGCTCGGAATGATAACTTTGAGAAGGCCCTCTTAACTGAAAATTACTACCAGAAGTCTCAAAAGCAGACAAAAACTGCTGATGCTCACGTTCAATGGCAGACCCCTTAAACTCTGGAGCAGAAGCGGAAGATATGGTCTCTTCCAAGCTCCCTTCAAAATGATCAGGTATCTGCTTTCTTGTAACTGCAATAACACCGGAGGCTGAACCAGAATTCATCCTTAAGTGAGGCATCAATTCACCAAGTTCTTGGAAAGGCAATCCATCAGGAGCGTTTGCCAATTGAACAGGTAAGTCTGTACCAAAATAACCTTGCTCAAACCATGAAATTATGTCGATCCCCAGATATGGTCCCTGAACTACCCCTTGAGGATCAAGATAGCGCAAACTCAATTCCTCTGGAGGGGTAATACTTTCCAGTGAATGTGACTCATTATTTCCCTTAACATTTATCTGGTTATAGCCAAGATTAGGCTGCAGTGACTGAAAACCAAATAGAAAGCTTGAGTCATCAGGAAGAGCACTACCCACTCCAAATTGCAAGGATGATTCTTTTTCCTTCACGTTGGAGTCCTTTTCCATTTTCCTATCAGCTACTGCTCGATTTCCAAAAGATTTTAATCCATCCATGTAATTTGAAGAACCATTGATCTCTTCTCTATCTGACCCCAAAGCATTGGTTTCATCAATATCAGATGGTGTCACATATTTTTGACAGCCTTCTTTTGAACTATTCATTTCTGTAATAACAATCAAAACAAATCATAAATATTATCCTTAATGGACTACTGAAGGAAAAGAAATAAAACGGAAAGTTTCCTACCCTTAATCATAATCATATGCAAGTCTGACACACAAAATGTCTCACCTTGATAATTATTGTTTACAGAAGCCTTCTCACCAGATTGAACACTATCCTCCCTTTTAACTGAGAAACTTTGTTTTTCTTCACCTGAAATCACATCCATAAGACCTGGATTAGGATAGGAACATAACTTAGCTTCTTAAATGTATCTAATCATTTATTAGGTAAGTTTGAAAATAAATGATACTTGTGTCCCTAAATGAGTTGCAGATCTCGTCACTGCTTGTAGTTTTTCCTTTCCATGTATCTCCAAGGACAGCCTGCAAGAATCATGCAAGCAAAATTGAGACAATGGGCAGATTTTTCTTCTATAAATCAGATTAGAAGTTTCATACCTCTTCCTCTGCATCAGGAGGAACAAATGCCAAAGGCTCAACAATTTCTTTGTGTGTTATCGTTGAAGAATGATCAATCTCATCAGGTAGAGTGTCAAAATTCAGAGCAGTCTTTTGCATGCGGTAAATGTCAAGGAGTTTTCCTCTTGGGTAGCAATACGCATTGATTGTCTTGTTTTTATCCCCAACACGAGCACCAATAACAGAAACAGACAGTTGCTTCCCTCGTCCTACTGTAAAACCCACATTTGATTTCTCCACTCGTCCCCTCCCCAAGCTGAATCCTGGAGCACTGCGGAAAGAACTGGACCCACCTGCATGAACTTCCAAACGATGACGTGGCCTCCATTTATCACGAGAATCAATCTCACGTTCAGAACCTAAGCGCCCCCCACTGGCAAGAGCATGTTTCTCAGTAGGGGCATCTTCCTTCTTAGAATCTGTCCTCTTATCATTTTGAGAATCCTTTTCTTTTTCTTCAAGACCCCATCTTGAAGACCACTTATTTTCCCTTCGAGATTCAATCCCTGAACCTCGACTACTAATATCTTGCCCTGCACCCAAAATATCAGAGCGCCGATCTTCTTTTCTGCGATCTCTCCGGCCAAGTAAGCTTGTTTCTCTCTCCTCTTCACGCCAGTGACGACTGCTTTCAAGATCAGGTGCAGCCCTCCTCCATTCTTTCTTGTCCTGAGAACCATCTAAACGCCAACTATCTTTCAGATTGGGATCACCAGAGGCTCCGTGAGGCAACAAATTTGGTGATTTTATATCCTGTTAAGAGTAAATAAATTATACCACAAACAATACAAATCAAAAACCAAAAAAATATCCACAAGCTATAAGTAAAATGTATATTTCAGATGAGCATTTAACGATTAAAATTATACTATTTTTATGCAATCGGATAAACTATTCACTACACACGAGTAGATGAGTCTAGAAACTAGAAACCAACAAATTAAAAAGTCATATTCCAATCATTACCCTAAAAGACAATGATAAAGATAGAGAGAGAAAATGTTCCATACCCCAGTCGTTCCAGCAGGTAATATCTTAGCATCGGCTACTTTAGAGTAAAGCCATTGAGGGGACAAAGGTATGCTGCTCTCCGAAGTCGGTGGATCTAGTCACAGAAAATTTAAGAAATTTCAGACAAACGAGCATATTGAATTTAAATCGGAATCCAAAAAAGTTAAAAGTTGGAGTATAGATATGAGAGAACGGAAACAACAACAATAAAAAGAAATATGATAATACCTTTCGGGGAGTAGTCAGAGCCGATTTTGGAAGATAAGAGATCATCGGGCAGATCGAATTTTCCGTCATCCATCGGGGAAAATGAAAGCTGATAGAATCTGAAAGGCGGAGATCGGAGTGGGAAAAACGGCGGCGTTAAAGGTTGCGAGAAAAAGCGAAGCAGGGGAAATTGAGAGGGATCCGATGGCTAAATAGGGGGAGAAATAAGGATTCAAAGAGAGAATGATTATGCTGAGCGCGAGAAATAGAATGGCTAGGGTTTCTATAAGTCAAGGATTGGGTCTGATTTTGATAATGACAATTTTTATTTTATTTTATTATTTTTCTTTACAGAGTTAAACGAAAAATGAGTAGGTAAATAAACAAATGTTCGATTATAAAATAAGTGTTTAAACTAATCATTTTTCTTAAATAGGTGACTAAATTTTTTTATTCATCTAAGTGTCTAACGTTATAAACATTAATATTTTAAGTACCTGAATCATAACGCCGTTAAAGTTCACCATTAATTGACATATGTCACATTTTGCTAATTTTAAAAATTTCATTTAAAATTAAAAAAATAAATTATATATTTAAAAATCCAAAAAATTTGAAAAACTTTTAAAAAATTCAAAATTTTGAAAGCTATAATTTCAATCCTCAAACTCACATCGACCGTCATCGTTTGACGTCAATCAAACCTCTACCCTATGGCAAGCCAAAATTGACGATAACGTTGTTTCTCTAACAAAGGAAACTACAAAATCGCAATACCCAAAATCGTGTCTTCAACGAACTCAAACTCCCAAAAACGTGACACTTAGGCAATCCAACGACGTGCACGATGGCAAGGGAGACAACGGCTGACAGAGGAGATGACAAGGACAATATCGGTGACGGCAACCACGACTGACAAGGTGGTTAGGGTTAGGGATTTGATATTTTTAGGGATTTAGGAATTTTTTATAATTTTAGAAAAACAGGGTTTTTATAAATATAATATTTTTTATTTTTTATAAAATAAAAATTTTAAAATTACCACAATATGAAACGTGTCATTTAACGAAATTTTTTTATGATTGTTATGGTCTAAACACCTAAAATCAGTAACATTTATAATATTAGGCACATGAATGAATCAAAAAAAGTTTGGGCACCTATTTAAGAAAAACGATATAGTTTGGACACTTATTTTCTAATTAAGCCATAAATAAATAAAAATTAAATAAATACAATTTGTACGTTTAAATAAATATAAAATGGGTAAATATAAATTGTAATTAATTGATTTTATTATAGTGGGTAATGATGGATTTAATAGTTATCGTGATTTTTAAATCTTTATTTAATTATATTATTAACGAGTCCACTAATTTATCTATAATTATGTTTTGGTCATCAAACATTTTTTTTTACAAATATGAGTGAATATAAGGTAGTATCTGTTCAAAACTCTCAACCCTATGACAATGAAGGCTCATACCTTTAGCATATGGGATGCTCGAACTCAAAATCTTAAGAGATAACAACAAATCTCTTAATCACTAAAATCGTTTGATTCGTAACGATCATCAAACATTTAAATAAATTATAATTATTTTAATTATTTTTAGTTTAATATTGATGTTACCGTGAAAATCTCCAATTCTTTCGTTCACCATTCATCATAAAAAATGGTTGTCCCTTGTTCCCATATGTAATGGGGTAAGGGGAGGTAAAATAGTAGGTTGTCCCCAACACCAGGTTGAAAGCAGCTTCCATAGAAGACCTCCGAATTATGAAATGCCTTCCGTGGGACTCGATCCCACGACCTCAAGGTTAAGAACCTTGTGCTCTACCAACTAAGCTGGATAGTCATCTCCATTCATCATTAATCATCATTCACAATAAAATCAACATTAAATGTTCATTTTTCACGTATTCTTCTTCTCTACGAATTGATTTTACACGAGAATAATTCAAAATCAACAAAAATCTATTTAAAAAGTAATTTCTAAATATGTTATTTGTGTTCTACAAGAATTTTTTTTTCACTGTTTAAATTATCGAACAAACACTCCAAACCTCTCAAATCTAAAACAACCCCAAAATAATGATATTTTTTTGTTTAATTATATGAATTTTAAATAAATTTTGTAAAAATCTAAACCAATAAAGCAATAAAGGATTACGAGATAAGTTTATTGACATTACAGATATTGAATAATGATAATTTTCAAGACGTTATTAGTTTATAACCCCTAAAATTTATTTATAGAACCAATATCTCTCAAACATGATTTTTTTTAAAAAAATACCATAAACTGCACACATATGATGATCTCGCGTTCTATAAAAATTAGGTAATACATCTTGTTTTACAAAAAGCGAGTTTCATGCATTTATTATGGTTCTTATCTAAACAATAAATCATTTTATCTGAAAATTTGATGGATTTCGTGCCCAATAAAACACGAGGTTTATTAAACACAGTTTGTAGGAGTGAGATTATCTTACGTGTGCAATTTGGAAGAATTTTCTAAAAAATCTTATTTGGGAGATATTGATTCAATAAATGATTTTTTAGGGTTATTAAACTAATAATGCCAATTTTCAACTATTAAAAACAAGTGAAGAAATATTAATTTTGATCAAGATAATAAGATGAAATAATATATATATATATATATATATATATATTACTTCTACATCAAAATCAAACTGTTTAATCAATCAATTGTTGTTGATGTAACAACAAAATAGTAATTAAATTTGCAAACAAAAATTCATTGTCAAAATTAAAACGTTTTAAAATTCACTATTCAAATCAGTACACAACCTAAACATTAGTGGCTATTAGTATAATTTACCCTTATTTTTATTTTCATAAGCCAAATAACGCAGGAAATACTTTATTTGATCGACCTCGAAAAGTTTGATTCTAAAGAAGATCAATTGCAAATATTTAACTCTGATTTGCTCATTGCTTAACGTTTAAACCCAAACTGAACTAAATAAGCCTAGCAAAACAAACAAAAATTACAGGGAATGTACATGGCACGGCACCTGTAGATGAGAAAAATTAGTCAAGACCTTGGATCTCACCCATCAAAATGTGGTTGCTCGTAGCCTTGAAACCGAGCAAGGCAGGATCGATCTGTCTTCCCTTATTGCCTTTTTTCTTGCCACTTCGAGGAGCTTGTGAAGCAGCGTCAGATGAAGGCTTGAAAGCAGAACCGTACGCTGCTGCCTCAGTCCCGTGAAGATGAGCCGGCTTCTTAAGAATCTCGATGAATGACGATGCCTCAGACACTGCAGCATCGTTGGAAGATGTGGTCCTTCTCATAACTGCATCTATTTTGACAGATGCCTCGTCTTTTACGCTCCCTTTGCTTGAGTTGCAAGGCTTGTAGGATTTTTCGCTTCACGAATGACACCTCGTTTTGATCAGAAAACACCTGGGATGATGAATCTGTGAAACTTTATCACGCCCTTTTGGCATAACTGACAGTAACCTACCAATAACACAAGCACATTTAGATCGATTTACAAACTGAGTTTAATAGTTAAAACATTGTTAACAACCAAAATGATACTGAACATGCAAAGATGTGCATTCATGTCAATTATCAAATGATGCCGACAGGGGAGAGAGAGAGAGAGAGATCAACATTATGAGACATGTCGTGTCATAGCTGTGCTAAAAAAAACACAAGCAAATAAAAGCTCCGACATTACAAATAAAAGAATGTCACCTATCAGTAGAATGGTCTTCAACTGATTTATCCAATCCAATATCATTATTGTACAACTTGTCATTGCCACGTGCACATTTCACTTCCAAGATTTAGTTCATACAAAAAGGATGGAATTTAATGAAAAGTTTTCTGACAGATTACCAGTACTAAGAGAACCATGCCGGAGATGGGTTCTACTTTGTAGATCACCACTGTTCAAAGTTGTCTCTACTTGCTCTAAAATATTGTCCTCAGACCCTGACACAGAACCACTTCGAGAAATCATGCTTTTCAATCCATTTTTCTTCTCCTTACCCTCCAATAATTCTTTATCCACAGAAAATTTTGCTGTCAACCTAGCACCTGCATATCTACTAGAAAACGGATCTCCAGAGCCCAAAATCAATGACTGTTCTGCAAATGATCCAGAATTTTGGGGGACTTCTGAAAATGAGATGTTCACATTAACTTCCTGATCGGTCAAATGATTGAAAGGTAAATTCGAAGCTTGTTGCTCGGATGGTGAAGTAGAATATTGCTCATCACTTCTGATGACTGCATGGATTGAAAACCAAGTTTTTGTTGAAGATCGTCCATTAAAGCATTCTTAGAGTTTTCATGAATCCCTTCAGCTGATGTCCAAGTGCTTGAATCAACTGCAGACTCCCTTCTTTGCAGATATGATTCGAGACTTAATTGTTGCATTTGTTTTCCAGCCCAACTATTTTCTAGTTGCCCATTTTGCCTTGACCGGTAGCTCTCAATTAAATCTGGATGAGAAGTATACACATCACCCAAAATTTGTCGGCCAAGAGAGTGGTTGCCGGAAGAAAATGGACCCAGCCGATTGTTAGAGTGCATATAGAGAAGGTCAGATTGATCTAGAGAATTTACATTTTCCTTCCATCCCAGAAGCAAGTGCAGAAAGAGCTGGCCAGGCAAATGCTGTAGGGTTTGGCTCAAAAGTCCCTTGCTGCTGTTGCTCCTGCAAAGCAAGATTCCTTTTAAGATTGCTGAATTGCTCTTCAAAAGATGAAAGCCTCTTCCGGTGAAGATCTGAATCATTCAACCCCACTGATTGAGCCTGGAGAAGATTCCTGACAAACGGACCAACTTCATCTACAGACCAAGAACTAGCAAGTTGTATATCCCCCTCCATTCCCAATTGTTGGCTCAGTGTCCTAGACAATTCTTGTGTTTGAAACTGCTCTTGTTGAAGGCGAAGCTGATGCTCTGAAGTCTGAAGGAAGCATATTGTCAAACTTTGCTTCTGACATAAAATCCACAAAATCAGGCCGCTGCCCTTGGGCTGCACTCCGATTGATCTTTGCTTGGATAATCTGCTCCAGTGATGGATCCAAGTGACTTGAAGCATGAGAATTCTGCTGCAATTCACTCAGAAGAACCCATTTAACTGAACCTGATCAAGTAGGTTGTCTCTAGCAGCATCAGGTATTAGCTGGTCATAACCATTCGGAAACCTTATGTTGCAGTAATTGATCAAGTAGCAACTGCTGGGCTTGACAATGTTGCTTCTGTAGATGTTGTTGTTCCAGCTGCTGCAACAATTTAATTTGGTGGTGACGAAGCTGCTGCTGTTGCCGTTGAAGTTCCAACTGCTGCTGCTGCCGCCGTTCAAGTTCCAACTGCTTCTGGTGCTTCTGCTGAAATTCCAACTGCTGCTGGTGTCGCCGCTGAAGTTCCAGCTGCTGCTGCTGCCGCAACTGAAGTTCCAACTGTTGCTGCTGCAGCAGCTGAATCTCCAACTGCTGCTGCTGCAGCAGCTGAATCTCCAACTGTTGTTGCTGTCGTTGCTGTTCAAATTGAACCTCCAAAAGATGTTCCATATGTGGAGATGAATAACTGATTGAGTGCAGCTGATTATGATTCTTGCTCCGTATCAGATCAAAACTATGAATACGCTCCGCACCAAATCCACTTGATTGCGGAAGGGGTTGAAGAAATTATTTTTCTCTTGAAGTGGTTCATTGGGAAACTTTTGGGACATTAGGTGCTGTACCAAGTCCAAACCATTCTGTTCTTGCTCCCTGTGAGAAAAGGGCTGAGAATCAATACTGCCGGGATGAATGTTAGGATTAAATACATCATTTCTTCTATAATCATCAGGCCAAGCCTCTCGAAACAACGCATCACCTTGATGAGAAGGTACATTGGTTTCTGAAAATTCATTTGCACAGGACAAATGGCTTGCAGGATTGCCAAAAGGATCTTGAACTTCAGCAGAAACTTTCAAAGGCTCGATGCCAGCACTTCCAGGCCTTATACGGGAAAAAGAATTTCTGCATCACACGAGAAAAACAAGAATCATTATCAAACACAATAACAAAATTAACAGTAGGTCAAACCCATTAAACTTACCATCTGCATGAGCAGAAGCAAATTTATGGAGCTTTTGATCTTCAGAAAATTGATGCTAGGAATGATAACTTCGAGAAGGTCCTCTTAACTGAAAATTAGTACCAGAAGTCTCAAAAGCAGACAAAAACTGCTGATGCTCATGTCCAATGGCAGACCCTTTTAACTCTGGAGGAGAAGCGGAAGATATGGTCTCCTTCAAGCTCCCATCAAAATCAAAATGATCAGGTATCTTCTTTCTTGTAACTGCACTAACACCAGAGGCGGAACCAGAATTCATCCTTAGGTGAGGCATCACTTCACCAAGTTCTTGGAAAGGCTATCCACCAGGAGCATTTTCCAATCGAACAGGTAAGTCTGTACCAAAATAACCTTGCTCAAACCATGAAATTATGTCAATCCCCAGATATGATCCCTGACCTACCCCTTGTGGATCAAGATAGCACAAATTCAATTCCTCGGGAGGGGTAATACTTTCCGGTGAATGTGACTCGTTATTTTCCTCAACATTTATCTGGTTATGGCCAAGAGTAATATGCAGTAACTGAAAACCAAATAGAGAGCCTGACCCATCAGGGAGACCAGTACCCATTCCAAATTGCATGGATGATTCAGTGTCCTTCACGTTAGAGTCCTTTTCCTTTTTCATATCAGCTACTGGTCGATAATGGAAAGATTTTAATTCATCCATGTAATTTGCGGAACCATCAATCTCCCTATCTAACCCCAAAGCATTGGTTACATCAATATCAGATGGTGCCACATATCTTGGTCCACCTTTTGATCCATTCATTTCTGTAACAACAAGCAAAACAAATCATGAATATCCTTAATGGATTGCTGATAGCAAACAACTAAAACAGAAAGTTTCCTATCCTTCGTCATAATCATCCATGAATCTGACCCATAAAATGTCTCTGCATGATTCCCTTGATAATTACTGTTTACAGCAGCCTTCTCACCAGATTCAGCACTATCCTCCCTGTTAACTGAGAAACATTGTTTTTCTTCGCCTGAAATCACATCAATAAGACCCGGATTAGGGTGGGAACATAACTTAGCAACCCAAAAGTAACTAATCATTTAATAGGTAAGTATCAACATAAATGAAACATTAGCAACAATGCTTTCATTAGATCCCTACTTGTGTCCTGAAATGAGTCACAGATCACATCACTGCTGGTAGTTTTTCCTTTCCATATATCTCCAAGAATAGCCTGTAAGAATCACACAGCAAATTTGAGGCAACCACAAAGAACGATAAAAATGGGTAGGTTTTATTCTATGAATAAGATTAGAAGCTCCATACCTCTTCCTCTGCATCAGGAGGAACAAAAGCCAAAGGCTCAACGATTTCCTTTTGTGTTATTGTTGATGAATGATACATCTCATCAGGTAGGGTGTCAAAATTCAAAACTGTCTTTTGCTTGCAGTAAATGTCAAGGAGTTTTCCTCTTGGGTAGCAATATGCATTAAAGGTCTTGTTTTTATCCACAGGATGAGCTCCAATAACAGAAACAGATTGTGGCTTCCCTCGTCCTACTGTAAAACCCACATTTGATCTCTCCACTCGTCCCCTGTCCAAACTGAATCCTGGAGCACTGTGGTAAGAAGTGGACCCACCTGTATGAACTTCCAAACGATGACGCGGTCTCCATTTATCACGAGAATCATTCTCACGCTCAGAAGCTAAGCGTCCCCCACTAGCAAGAGCTTGTTTCTCAGAAGCATCTTCCTTCATAGTATCTGTCCACTTTTCATTTCGAGAATCTTTTTCTTTTTCTTCAAGACCCCATCTCAAAGACCACTTGTCTCTTCGAGATTCATGCCCTGAACTACGACTACTAACATCTTGCCGTAGCTCTGAAGACAACAAGTTCCTATTTTCAGGAACATCCATTGTTGAAGAAATACAAGTGCGACGGTGTTCTTTTCTGTGATCTCTTCAGCCAAGTAAACTAGTTTCTCTCTCCTCTTCACGCCAGTGACGACTGCTTTCAAGATCAGGTACAGTCCTCCATTCTTTCTTGTCCTGAGAACCATCTAATCGCCAACTATATTTCAGATTGGAGTCAACGGATGTTCCCTGGGGCAAATTCAATGCTCTTGTATCCTGTTGATGAGCATAGAAATTATAGCACAGAAACAATAAAAACCAAAATGAAAAATTGCCACAAGATACGAGCTAGATATCACTTTGTGATGAGCATTAAACAACGATAATAATACTAATTTCTTCAAATTTAGTCCAACTAATTTTTATCTAATCATATTCACTATCTATGCATACTCCCACTACAAAAGGGTAAATGAAACCAGAAACCAACAAATTAAACACTCATGGAAACCAGTACCCTAAAAACATTTCTAGAGAGAAATGAAAGCTCCATACCGCAGATACTCCACAAGGTAACATCTTAGGATCAGCCACTTAAGAGAAAAGCCATTGTGGGGACAGAGGTATGCTGCCTTCGGAAGTTGGTTGATCTATTGACCACAAACAAAAAATGAGAAACATTTGCAAGAAAAGAGATGCACATGATTTTAAAAATGCAAATTTCGACCAAAGGCAAAATGTATTACCTCCGGTGTCATCCAGCAACGCCGTGAGTCCTTTCTCCTCCAAGTTCCCATCCCAACATTCACTTAACAATAACAGAAACTAAGATAACACAGAGATGAAAATGGTAGAAACTGTCTATCCTCGTGTGTTTCAAGCGTGTTTTCATGGAGTCCCTACAATACCAAATGCTTTGAGACTGAACTACGAGTAATCTTTCCATACAAAGAGAGGAAAGCATACCCTACTACTATTTATAATCTTCAGAGTCAACAATTAAAATTTGCCAATAACTATGCGAAGCAACTAAATTGATTCTTTTCCATAAAAAAATGCGAACTTTTCTCCAACCTCCAGTGCATTTGAAAGGGATGATTCTAGCAGATACAATTCTACATAAAAGCAATCGTGAGATTCTTTCCCTTCTTTTATTGAGAAACCATTGAAATAATTAATTATAAAAAAGAGATCTTAGGTGAATCACTAACGGAATCAGAAGTCTACAATTAAAAAAAGGGTAAAGTATAGTAATGGTCACTGAATTTTTCTAAATCATTCATTTAGGTCCCTTAACTTTTAAAACTTGCAATACAGTCTTCTAACATTTAGTCCGTTTACAATATTGTCCCCGACGTAACCGATCGTTTGACGCCGTTACACTACAGTTAGTACGTTTACAATATGGTCACTAAACTTTTCAGGCGCTTACATTTAGGTCCCCCAACTTGTAAAATTTACAACACAATCCTCAGTTTCATTCTAAACCCCAAATTCCTTTTCGATCTCGAATTTCCTTTTTCGCTTCTCTCTTCTCATTTTCAGCGTAACTTTTCAGTCGGGGATGTATGGAAAATTCTAATCTAACTTTGAACTATGTGGATGTGTTGACTTGAATAATGGTTATTGAGAGAAGACCCGACCAAAGGACTATCGGGACCATCAACTATTCAATGTGTAATGTTAGATACAGGTCATCTCAGGTGAAGCATAGATGTTCGATGAAATGTTTGTAAGAAAAAATGGGGTTAGAAATGCAGAGTTGACAAATACTACTAAGATGAACTAAATATCATTGTTAAAGTCACAACAAAGCTGAAATTATTTTGTATAAATGACATATATTAATTTATTCGTTTAATATTTGTGGTTAAATATTTTTCAACAAATGATCAAATATAATAAAATCTCAAACAACACGTTCACCTCTCGGTCTCTTGTTTATATAAACATATTTGATATTAAATGAAACATCCATTCCTCTCTTCTGAAGTCCGGCTGTTAGACAATCTGACACTTGATTCAGCTTGATGTTACGAGTTCTGTGATATAATTTCATCGGTGAGAATGCGGAAAATCAATAATTAAAAAACAAAATAAAGACGGTCAGGCTATTCATTTATCTTTAAATAAGCAATCGTTTACTTCCCACCCATACTATCCACTTCTAAAAAATATATATATACACTTTAAAGTCCGAGTTAAACTATTTATTAAAATATTTTCTCATCATTAGCTGTAATAATAATAACAAAAGTCCATTAAATTAAATAAATTTCAGAATTCTCTCTCAAAAAATCTAGTTATTATAATATTTGAAGACGGTATATCTGCAATTATGTTTCCAGATCCACGTAAAGAGGACCTATCCTATAGGTAAATAATAGGAAAAAGGGGAAGGTTAAAAGGTGAGAGGTCCTACCGGGTGTCGAACCCAGGTCGTTGGATTCAAAGTCCAGAGTGCTAACCACTACATCATAGAACCGTATAACTTAAATGTCAAAGATTAGTTTGAAGAAATTTTCTTACTTTTTCATTTCCTATTATATCAAGTTTCATATATGATTATAATTATTATGAATGCCGTTTAAGTCTTAGATTTGAACACCAACAGAACGATAGCATTACACATTTAGATCATTTAATTTAAAATTTAAATTTTTTAATTTTATAATTAAAATTTTAAATTTTATTCATTTAGATGATTCAAATATTATGTCTTTAAATAAAAGAAGAAGAAAACAAATTCAAAACCAAAGATCAAATGCCGGAATATTAAAGGGAGAGGTAGAAGGATGAGAGGTTTGGTACAACACTCGAGAAGCTATATTCCTATAAGGATCTTTATCTCTTCTGTGTTTCAAGAAATCAATGCATCCCTCCACCTCTGATTTTATGTGCAAATACAAGTCATCACATTTCTTCTTGTACTTGAACTCCACCATACATGTATGTGTATACACATGGTATGTGACTTTATGAAGGAAAAGAAAATTTAATTTTGTGATTCTTAGCCTTAATTACCTCAGCGAAATCATCCTCTCCAACAACACCAAAAGGAACAATCTTGGCTCCAAATCTGGCTGCCATCCTCACAAACTCAGATTTCTCTGGCCAAAATAACTTGTATTCTTCGCCCTGCAGGTTCATCTCTACACTTGAGCATTTCATATACATACACAATGTGATGCATGATCTTATATTCAGCAAGGGCCAGCCCATGGAATACATATATATATATATATATATATATATTATATTATGTTACCTTCCTATGAAGGGCATGAGATTTTGAAGACATAAGTTTGTAAAAGTTTGCAGCTGAGACAGGCACTGCCCCCATTACTCTAAGTACGTCATAAGGAGGAAGGGGGAGGCAGAAGTCCAGAACCATATTTGTTTCAAACAATGATGGGGGAAGGAGGAAGGGGGAGGCACAAGGCCAGAACTAAAAAGGTCGGGGAAGGGGAGGCAGAAAGGTCGGGGAAGGGGGGAGGGGTGATTTTTTATTTATTTTTAAATAATTTTAAATGATATATTAATTTGAGATCTCTCTCACATTTAGAATTTATAATTTAATTCATAGTTTAAAATGTAAACTTTAATTTTTATTTAATTTAATCTTAATTTCAGTAATATAAATTTATGCAATTTAAATTTTATAATTTTATTTTAATTATATTTAATTTAATCATTTTAGGGTAAGTTGTGCGACATTTAAAAAAATTCACGACCGCGATACCCGTAATGACCGCAATGACATCCGTTATGTCCGTAACCGTGAGAAGCGTGACGCGACCGAAAACGTGACCGCGAACGTTATTTAAAACCTTGGGTGCATTGTATTGGCTCTGCCATGTTTGTTTTCCTGCATTTAGGTAGTTGTACTTTGTTAGGACAACTGACTCCCGTGTGTCTTGGTAGTGTTTATTATATCATTCATATAATGTAGAACCAATGCTTCCTTCCGGACACTGAAATATTTCGACTCTTTTATCAGACATAAATATGTTATTAAAATGCACGATGCAGGTCGTGACAGTTTAAGACGATTCACTCAGTTGGATAGAATATTCATATGATATGATGCAAGTATTTTAAAACCCAAATTACGTATCTCTGAAATGGAGTGATTAATCGCAACACATTATTCTTGCCCCAAGGGAAGAAGAAAAAGGTCTATCATGAAAGAGAAGACTCTGTCGGCTAAGCCAAGGATGATTGCCTGCAGGAACCCCAAACAGATCTTCAATGAAGAATTATTATTACCTTTGTGAAGGGAAAAAAAACAGCTTGTGAGGTGCAGGAAAGTCATCCTTGGCTACCCAACAAGGTTCTTATCCTCATGGAAGACCTCTCTTCCTCTATCGTATCCATGTCCATGCATGCGTGCTTGACGAGCGGAAGTACAAAGAAAATACTTATATGAAAATTTGAAATTTTCAACAGCCATCACCCGTAAGCTCCCTCTTTTGTCATGGAGGAAGACAAGGACTAGCATGAAAGAAAAGAGTCTGTCAGGTTAGCCAAGGAGACTGCCTGCTACCCAACAAAGGGTCTTCAAACAAAACTTGAAAGAAAAAGAGAAAACCCCTCTTGGAAGGAACAGGCAAGTCATCCTTGGCTACCAAACACAACTCTTATCTTCATGTTAGACCTTTATTCCTCTCTCGGGTATTTCGAGCTCAAATGGCGATGCCAACAACACCATTTCGAAAGTCTGGATTTATAGCAGATGGGAAACTAAAGAGTAGTGTGCTCAGATTAGTATAGTTTTGAGCCCTTCTCATCCATTGAGCCTTTTCTCCCTTCCTGAAATACTCACTGCCCATAATGGAATATATTCGGTTCATATGTAGGGACCCCATGGTTTCATAGATAAGAGTCTCCTCGAAGATTAAGGAAACGTCTTCAAGTTTCTTATCCTGCACTCTTGGCCAGCTAACGTGGACCTAAGCTAGTTTCATTTTTGCCACCATGTGCATTTATTGAAGCATAGACTTGACTCAAGGGCTAGCTCTGTTTCGTTTTATCATGTGAAAACTCAAATTTCATACAAATTTAGAGTTCATTTATGCCATTTGATTCACAACCAAAAATAAGATGATCAGTTGGTGTGCAAGAAGCTGATGACTGAGGGAAGGCCAAATTGCATGTATTTGACTTTGAACAGCGCAATCAATGGAAATTAGATTGATTTTTTGCCGACCTTTTCCAGCTAACTACAGATGATTTTGACTAGACTCATAAATGATGCAAGAATGAAATCTAGTAAAGGCACAATATCGGTCAATATATCTTTGTAAAATGCCTGAAAGAACCCCCCCCCCAAAGAAGGCATATGATTCATTGACAATATGCTTCCATTTTGAGATGCCCCAACTAAGCAAACCAATTCAAAAAGAAATATAAAATGTCAATGCCATTTGCACCATGCAATGGCTTATCGTCCCCATTTACTTTCGTGTGCATCCATTCCTTTGTTCATAAATGCATATCAGTATTTATTCTGACTTCTTTAAGCCCTTTTTTTCTGCATTTATAATTGGCAAATACTATTGATTGAATTACTGATAAAATATTGATAGACTTCTTATGTAATCTTCAATTGATATTTCTTAAGTTCACATCCTCTCTTATGGATCTATCTCATAGCATAATTCACAATAGATATGCATGATGTCAATAAGTCTTTACATTGTATCATCTTTGGACCTCCATAAACGTATAAATAGATTACAATTTAAAACTCAATCTGATTCTAAGTTAAACTCGAAGTTATTTGGTCATTAAAAGATTTAATTCATGCTTATTCTGTCAATATATATACATGTTATTTAGCACTGTAAATATTTTCGGATTTTAGATAAGTCAC